CCCCTCAAACTGACTCTAGTGGCAGATATGCTCTCCAAGCTTCCTCAGGTGGTCTTCGTAGAAGCAATCAATTAATTGATCTCATCGATTAACCAGAGCCTGGCCTTCAGCACCCACTCATTTTTCATAAAGCGTCCTTACCTCTTCATGCCAGCACGAGTACCTAGGCAGAGCGGTGTTTGTTCCTGCAGTATACGGCAGGTCTTGATAGTAGCTCAATGGCCTAGCAAGTTTATTTTAAATGTATGCTTTTGGTTAGTGAGACACCGCGCATATCGTGAAGTCCTTTTTGATCTTCTGTTAAGGTATGTACATGTTTTATATTAACAAAGTACAGTTTGAAGCATCTGTTTCCGGTACGAATTTAAAGCAAGCGTAGACAGCAGGATTTATTGAATTCAATAAATTTCGCGACGGCTTTTCAAGTGCATCCCGTCGTTGCATAAGTCAGATAACGGATAGAAACATGCAGCAGATTGAATTTCACAGAATGTGAATGTATAACAACAAGGGTAATAGTTCAGTGTAAATAAATATCGACTGCAGGGCACTAGATTAAATCAGCCTATAGGGAGAAAAGCGGGGAGAGGAAGTTGGCACAAACCAAGTCGTAATTAAAACTAGCCGCCCAATTACCAAGGTAATTGGAGATTGGCCACGTGGTCTAGCTGTGTGCACAAGTCGGTTTTCTCCCACCGTATGTAGGCCTCTTCCAAGTAGTGCAGGGGCTGATTTGTTCGTGCCCGAAAGTGGTTTTGAGGTCGACAGAGTGACCACTGTCTAGCCGGTGTTTAGTAATCGAAGATCGTGGTACTCTGTCTTCTTGCTTGAAAAGCTGATTAGACAAGTGTTCAGCGGTCCTGGCCGCCAGTTGCCTTTGCGTACGGCCAATGTAACTGCATCTGCAACCTCCGCTTGATTCTATTCGAAATATTATCACCCTTAAAGGATAAGGATATAATTACGGGATTTTTGGCATTGACGGTTCCGTCAATTTTGAACGTAAAAATGGCGACAGTTTGCGCCAACTTCCTCTGCCCCCTTATCTTCCTATAGGCTGATTTAGTGTAGGGCCCTTCGGTTGCTCATTATTTATACTGAACTATAAACCTTACTGCTATACATTGAAATTCTGCAAAATTCAGTCGCCTGTACGCTTCTATTCGTTATCTGACTAATGCAACGACGGCATGCGGCTGAAAAACCATCGCGAATTATACTGAATTCAATAAATCTTGCTGTCTACGCTTATTTAAAAAAAAAAGTTTAGGTTGTATAGCTCCGAGCTGCGTGTCTTGAATTCTTCCCAATGTATGCGGTGTAATGAGTAGGTTAAGCTTTTATTTTCAACACAAATGTTAAAAAAAGTTAACCAACACGCAAATGGAAGTATCAACGTATTGGACAGCAAACGGATAACTAAAACGGATTGGCCTGAGCACGAAGATCGGCTGCTACTCCACGCACGTACGCAGGCCCTCCTAAATCCTCTAATACCCACAGTCTCGCTTCACAGGTTTGTGTCTTCTCACAATCCGCAGTGCAAGTGCAAACCTGAAGGTCCCGCCTGCATCTACACTCCAAACTGTGCTGGCTATCGACCGGTTTTAGTGGGACGTACATCCAGTAGACGCTTCTGTGCATTTCCTGACCTGATTTGACAGGCTCGAGGGCTGAATCTGCCTCATTGTAAGAAGTAGCTTGATTCTGTCTTTTGACCCCACTGGCAGGCGCCCTTCCCAGGGTGCACTTGTGACCCCTCTGTGGTCTTTTATCTCCAACTTTAATTTCTACCAACTGGGAGTACGAACGACTGCCATCCCCCTGCATCTTGATATCCTCATACTGAGTATACTTTTCAACGTAGAGGCAGGCCTTCCCTGAGGTCCCGTGGGATGAGGAGGGCACCAGGGGGTCACAGGTATCGGTCTCTGTGGAGCTCATTTGCCAATCGGGAACAAAAAGGGGAAGGGCTAGCGCAGGCGACCGCTTGAATGAGCGTCTGTGCTTTCGATCCAGGGTTGCCATAGAAAGGCACCGTCTTTCCGCTTGCAACCTGCGTTTGCCTCGGCACACAGCGTAGCAAATTCCATTGACCGTTGCGGCCGTGTAGGCCTTCTGCAAGCATTTCACCTGAGCCACTGCGTGTGCTCTAGACGTGCTTTGAGTATATTCGATGACTGTTTCAGGGTTTATGCCGGCGTTTTTGTTGGACTGAAATTTGATGTAAACTGGGGATCTAAGTTGCTTGTTGCGGCACTTGGGACTTGACAGTGGTTCTGCTCTACACAGTCGGGCAGTTTTGCGGACTTGAGTGGGGCTGTAGTGATGCCAATGGTGTTTCTCCCGTGAAATTGGGCTAATCGGAGCTCTCAGAGCTTTCGAACGTCTGCATATGTGTGGTCTTTGTGCGGGCTCATACATGGGGTGATAAGATCGCATAGGAGTTGTTGAGGCATCCAAAGGACGAGTTGAACATCTTGGACGTGGCCGTGGATTACAGGACTGAATGGATCTGAAAGTTGGGGATAGGCGCTCCTGAGCGTCTTCGTCGGGGCTTTCTATTCTCTCTGGGCCTTGGTATGAAGGCATGAATTCGGTAGTGGTTAAAGAGTGCGACTCAAGGTCTCCTTGTGTCCCCACGCTCTCCCTCACCCCCTGCCCAGCCGAACGCCAGTTAACGCTACTTATCTCACGTAATCTTCGTGCTCGGGGTCTGATTAATCGGGCACCCTGGCCCTCCGCCATAGGTGTCGGTTCCTTGGTGACGGTCCATGCCTCAGTCAAAAGGTTGTCCGATATGATAAACTGTATATCTATAATATCACTGGCCCCGCTGAGGTCTTCAGTCGCAAAGGACTCCTCCAGTATCTTGTAAGGCTCAAAGGTTCGACTCTGCTCCAGGCTACTGTTGGGCGCCCACCGTTCTTCCAGAGGTCTCTCACTACGGAGGACGGGACGGCAGCTCCTAATCGTATTTCTCATCCATCCGAGAGCACTTTCTGGACGCTCCTGCTTTTGATTGTTGGAAGTGTTCGCTCTCCACCCAGTTTTACGTCCTAAACGTGAAAATAACCGGGAAATGTCATTTGTTCTGCTCCTCTCGCCGCTAGCGACGTTTTCTTGTTCCACTTCAACATTCTCCTCACATCTTTGTTCTCGACGGTACCAGCGTGCTATTCGAAGTCTTCTCATGCCTAGCAATATGGCCAATCACTACCCCATCGGGGAGCCTTCATCTACGGGTTAACCACGAAGCGTGTGTGTCACGCTACCTATCCATCGATTGCTTGTGGAGCAGCGTGATGCTTCAAATGCCCCCACGTGCCTTCAAACCCTATACATCTTAAGTCACCAAAATCAGCATTCTTTTCCCGCGAGTCGCCTGAGAAATTGATTTCGCGTCAAATTGTCCATGTACTTCTTCCTTTATGCACACGAGACGAGATTTCCTTTTGCGAAATTCCAGAGTTGATAAATTTTCACCTTTTTGAATCCCGATTGGACGGAAGCCATGCACTTTTTTCGCAATCTGTATCTTGATTTAATTCAAAGTAGGATAGCCAATTTTTTACCGTCTAACAGGTTGCCGGCTCAAAGAAGTTTGTTAGCATTGTTTTTTGTCAGGATTCCTATGCATGTGCATGCGTTAAACGCTCGTTAATTCGCTTCCATCGCTACCTTCTCAAACAACTTGGTGGTAAGCTAAGGCACGGGTTCTCGCCGCGCCATCCATCTACGCCCTCTACCGCTTTCGGTCCTTTTTTACCTGATCGTGACAGCCGGCTCAGGTGGAGTGGAGGAAGGGACAGTGTGGTAGATACAGCGCAAGTCTACTATCTTCATAAATTAAATCCCCTGCAAGTACCCTTACCTGTGCCCACCATATTGTAGGACCCAGTGTGGACATTGTCGATAACGACGGTCGAACTGTCGGATAGTGAAGGGGGCTCCTTCCGCACAACGATTGTGTTCCATTAGCAAAATAATGGTAGGATGGCAAGGGCTGAGCTTGGACGTTCTAGTTGACCAAGTTGCAGAGGTTATTCTAACCCTCCGCCCATGCTGTGGAGTATGGGTTTCGACGATTTCCACGGTATTTCTCGCAAAAGGGTGACGCAGGGACGGTGACTTACGCGTAAACTTCGTGATAGTGAAAGTAGTCTTACACTGCATCTATCGCACTCTCTCCTCCGCCACTCCACCTGAGCAC